CCCATGCATGTGCACAAAGACATTTCCCATTCTCTTTAAACAAAAAGATAGCACTATTCAAACTGCATTGCTCTGCACCCTGCTTTTTTCCCCTCACTTATTTTATCTTGGAAATAATATCCTATCAGTTCATAGACAGCTTCTTCGTTTTTATTAATGGCTGTATGGCATTCTACTGTCTGTGCAAGCCACAGTTTATTTAACCAGTCTGCTATCGCTGAGCATTTGTTTATTTCTAATCTCAACGATTTTCCTTGCACATCCATCACCTCCACTTGTGAGAGTGTAAATGTTGGAAAGATTCCTGGCAGTGGAATTACTGCATCAAGGAGCCCATGCATTTAAAATATGGCTAAATAGGGTTTCTACCCTTCTGCCAGCAATGTGTGACAGCACCTGTCTCCTCACACCTGTACCGCGTGGTAAGTTATCAGACTTTCCAAACTTAGTCAGCTCAGTAACTGAACAATGTTCTCTTGATGTAGTATTAATGTGTGTTTCTCTTACTGTCGGTGAAGGTGACACTTGCCACAATTCAGAGTTACTTGTGTCTTCTGTGAATTGTACAAAAAAGTTGCCTATTTTTCTATTACACTGTGGGTGTTCATCATTTATTTGACTGTCCTCTTTACATATCAAAGGCACATTCCTTTGTCTACATGGTAAGCTTCAAAAATGGTTTTTTTGTTTGTTTGTTTTCTGGGTTTTTCGGGACAAGTAGCTCTTAGACAGAAATGAGATGCTTCTGCAGGTTGTGTCATTTTCTGAGCATTGCTACAGAGCTGCCCAGGGCCTTGCAGCTGGGCCCTGTAGGGTTCTAAAAGAACCTGGTGGTGGGAGGTCGGAGGTGGGAGGTGGGATGGGCAAGGAGGCAGTTTTAACTCTTGTACTGGATGGAAAGGGCTATCACAGAAGACAGTGAAATCAGCATCACAGGAAGTGGGCAGGACAGGCTGGCCTGGCTCTAAGACCCTCTGCCCTTCATCTGAAATGTCCGAGGATAGACAAGAAATGGGAGGACACCACAACAGAACTGCCAATTTCTGATTGATTTAAGCCTGAATGGGTGGATACTGCACCCAGAAGCTCTGAGTTACATTATTTAATAGTAACATAATCTTTCCAGAATGTAAACACGAGGCCAGGGTTCAAATGCTGAATAAATAGTTGTGGAATGAATGAAGGGAGGAATGAATGAATGAATGAATGAATTTAATCCAAGGATGTGAGAGGCAGCTGTTTCTGAGCAGAGCAGGAGCCCTCTTACCCCATCCCTCCCTGAACGTGCCCTCTCCTCTTCCTTCCTCCTTCCCCATCTGAGTCAGGTCTCAGCCTCTGTCATCGGGTCCTGCCCCAGCCCCCAACACCCAGGGTCTCCTCTGGCCTCCACTCAACCCTCTTCTCCAAGCAGCTAGACCCGCTTCAGTGAAATGCAAGCCCTTTTGGTCACTCCCCATTACCTGCACTTCAAGGATCTTCTCTATCTGCCCACTCCTCTGCTTTCCTCTTCTATGAGTCCTGCTCATCACACCCTGTGTGCCTCCAGCAATAGTAATGGTCACATTTATTGAGCACTTACTGTATGCACTTTTACATGGATTATGCTGAAGTCTTGCAACAATCTATAACTATGAGGGTAATGCTGTTATTATTCTCATTTTATAGATGAGGAAACCAAGACCAGAGACATTTGGGAGCTTATCCAAGGTCATCCACCTAGCAGATGATAGAATTGAGATTCAAAACTCACTCAGAAAACAAAAACAAAAACAAAAAAAACCTCACTCAGTCTAATGGCCATTGTGCCTAACCACTGAAGTAGAGCTAACTGGTTACCAGTCTTGGAGTGTGCCATGCTCCTTCAAGCTCCCTGCCCTTTGCTCCTGATGGCCCCACCTGGAGGGCTCTCCTGTTTACCTTCCTGTACCTGCCAAAAGTCTTGCTCACCCTCCAAAGTCTTGCTTGTGAGTCATCCCCTCTACAGTCTTTTCCTTCTCCCCTAGGAAGAGTTAGTTGCTCACTCTTTGATTTTACAAGTGAGAACCTTATGCTGTAATGATCTGGGGACCTGTCTCCCCCACCGTGCTGTGAGCCCCCCAGTGGACAGAGACTGTTCTATATCTCCCTCTTGTCTAGCACAATGCCTAGTACAGAGGGCATGCTCTATAAATATTTGGTGACCGAATGACAGCAGCCTAGGGACTCCTCCCCCAACACACAGGTGTTAAGTTCTGCTGGGAGTCTCTGGCTGGAAGCTGGGAAGGAGTAGGAAGTCTCAGGGCCCCACACTGTAAGGGGAAGCTGGAGACGATTTCACTAACTTCACCAGTCCACGAATCAAAGCTGTCCCCAGGAGGTCTAGCTGGTAGGGAAGTCCCAGCCTTACACCACCCCTAGAGGGCTCTGGGAAGCAGCTGTCCCATTTCCAGGGCTTTTCCCTCTCTTGCAGTGCCAGGAATGAAACCATAATGGGAAGTGATCCTGGAAGGGTCTCTGGATGCTACAGGAGGAACTGTGGCCAGTGTCCCCATGCTCAAAGCCTAGACCGTCCCAGACAGGGCCCTTTGGACCTCAGAAACCAAGGGGTTACATGGCTTTGGTAAGACGGTAGTTCCGGGCTGGGTGGGGACTTCCTCAGGGTGTGAGGGAAATTACTCCATCTCTGGAGCTATGGGGTAAGAAGTCCCAGTGACTCTCATCAACTCTGTCACTGTGCTTCTCCCTCTGTGTCTGCTTCACTCAGGAACTTAGTAAGGTTCCCCATAGCCTCAGGACAAATGCCTCAGCCTGTGGTCACTACATCCCAAAAGCTGGTGGACATGATAGCAGAGCACTTAGGGGTATGGGCTCTGGGGTTGGCCAGCAGGGTCCAAATCCCAGCTTACTGTGTAACCTAGGGTCATTCACTTTACCTCCTTAAGCTCCAGTTCCCTCACTCATAAAATGAAGATAAATAAATGTGAAAACATCAAAATTAAGGATTTGGGAGGTGCCTGGGTGCCTCAGTCGGTTAAGCATCTGCCTTTGGTTCAGGTCATGATCTCAGGGTCCTGGGATCAAGCTCTGAGTCAGGCTCCCCATTCAGCAGGGAGTCTACTTCTCCCTCTGCACCTCCATCCTGCTCTTGCTCTCTCTCTCTCCCTCTTAAAAGAATAAATAAAAAATCTTTTTTAAAAGAAGAATTTGTTCAATGGAACAAATTTGTTGAAAGGAAGGCACAATAGGCCAGTGATTTGCAAAGTGTGCTCCCTGGACCATTAGCATCACCTGAGTACTTGTTAGAAATGCAGAATCTCGGGCCCCAGCCCTGCTCTATTGAGTCAGAAACTCTGGGGTGGGGCTCAGCGATCTGTTTTAGCAAGCCTTACAGGAGATTCTGGTACATGGTAATGTTTGAGAACTACTGTCACAAAAAAAAAAAAAAAAAAAGAACTACTGTCACAGCCAAACCTGACATGAGCAGCATGTCAGGGGATGATATTGGGAACATCAACATTCAAAAGGCATTAATATCTAAAATTTACAAGCTACTCCTGGGATCTCTGGGTGGCGCAGTGGTTTGGCGCCTGCCTTCGGCCCAGGGCGCAATCCTGGGGTCCCGGGATCGAGTCCCCCGTCGGGCTCCCTGCATGGAGCCTGCTTCTCCCTCTGCCTGTGTCTCTGCCTCTCTCTCTCTCTCCGTCTATCATGAATTAAAAAAAAAAAAATCTTACAAGCTACTCCTGTAAATTGGCAAGAAAAAGACAGGAAACCCAATAGATAATGGGCACAAGACATGAATGGGCATTTCACTGAAGGGAAAGCCCAAATGCCTGACAAGTATAGGAGATTCTGAATCTCATATTAGCAGAGAAATTCAAACAATGAGATGCCACCTTACACCGAAAAATTACAAAGTCAGATAATGTAAAAACTAATGAAAATGTGGGAGACAATCATCTTTCACATGCCACTAGTAGAATTTAGTGACATTTAAAACATATATGTCCGGTGATCTACTGATTACACTCTTTGGTATAGGGTCGGAAGAAGTTTTCACATAGGCCCCATAGGGTCATGTACAAAGATGATCACAGTGTTGTTTGTGGTGAAAGGGAGTTGGAAGCCACCTGGATGTCCATATTGGGCGTTGGGAGTGGATAAATAAAACCATGGAAGCTTAGCTTGGAATGCTTTGTGGCAATTTGATGCAATAAGCTAGATTTTCCCACAGCAGCATGGGTTTATCTTAAAAATCATATGATGGGAAAAAAAATCATATGATGGGTGAAAAAAGAAAGCAACAGGATGAGATCTTTACATAACACCATTCATGTAGTGTAAATACACCCACAAAGCATTGTGTATTTTGTGTTCAAGGACATATATCAACACATAGGGTGGGTGTGCACAGTGGGGAGGGGAAGGAGTGTGGGGAATGTGTGGCTAGAGGGGGGAAATAAAGCAAAATAAAACATTAGGGGGCCTTGAAGTACTAAGTATGATGGGATGGCCATTTACTACAAACTGAGTATAAATCGTGGAACTCTGGACATGTAGCCCTAATACTAATATTGCTTTAAAATTGGTAATAATTATACCTACCCTCTGGTAAGTGTCATGTGTCTGGCCATGGAAGGCTCTGTAAAGTCTCATACATAAATTTAGCAGTTCTGTGTGAGGCTCTGGCCTCCTTTAAGGATTCGTTCCTTTTAGCCTCCAAGCCTTTACTGAGGCTGTGTTGAATGCTGCCTTTCCGCTGACTTCTCCACCTCTCCAACCATCAGGTTCCTTTTAACTACCCTGGACTCCCATGGTGGGAGCCTGTGGTCTTGGGTACTTTTCATTTGGGCCTTGAGCTGAGAGCCAGGGTGTAATAGAGCTGTGAGAAACAAGTTCTATTTCCTCTTCATTAGCTTCCCCAAGGTCTCCTTATAGCCCACCCCTAACTCAGTTCCCACCCCACTATACCAAGCAAGACAGGGAGATCAAGTCCGAAAGCGTTAGATGTGGAAGTGAACAGCATTTATTGGGGTCTATCATGTGCTAGACCCAGCACTAAGGTCTGGACTTTTGCTAATCCCCAGAACCACTCTGTGGCGGGGGTGGGGCCCACCTCATCCCACAGATTAGGGAATGGATGTCACCAAGAGGTGAGAACACGAACCAGGCAGGAGCCCTAGATCTGTGTGGCCCCCAAATCCAAGATCTGAACAAGCAACTCGTTCAGAGCCTTAGGGCCAGGACTGGGGGCACATCACCTACTTCTGACTCAACTGCCAGTAGATAAAAACCTCTATTTCAGATTGATGATCCAATTCTTGCCATTGGGGGAGGGGCGACCCTGCTGTTTGGAGTCTGAAAAAGACCCTCTACGCTATTTAGTATGGTTAGTTTGAGGTAATATCAAAGGAGAAACAGGAGCTTCCCTCAAGTTCCTTTCTCTTCTTGGAACCTCAGTTTCTCAAACTGTAAAATAGGAGAAGCAGCCATCTGTGGGCTCTGGGAATTCTTTTCTCAGTCGGCCAGCAGGTGAAGCACCCACCCCTCATCCCTCCCTTGGCCTCCAGAAAGGGGCGGCAGGCAGTCCAGGCAGTCGCAGGAAAGACGGGTTGACCTGGGGCGGCACCCGAGGCTGGTCAGACAAAGTAGGGGGCTGCCCGCTGAAGTCTGGCAGAGGGGCCTGAGCCTCAGGGACTGCCCGCGACTTTAGGGTCCCGCCCCCTGCAGCACATTCTCGGTGTTGCAGGGCCTGGAGCCCCCAGGACAGGGACCCCCGCGCCCCGGGGAGTGGAGGCCCGCGTCCGCGTCCAGTGCGAGGGGGACCGGGGCCCAGGGTCCCTCGGGCAGGAGCCAGTGAGATGCAGGTGCGTCCCTGCTGTCCGCAAGGGCTGCGGCTACAGGTAGTTGTCTTCAGCCGCGTCGCCCCCGCCCGGGCAGTCCCGGGCCTCCTCGTCCGTGCTTTCGTCGTCGTCGGGGGCCAGCGCCTCGATGTCGTGCGTGATGTCGGCCAGCAGCCGGTGGAAGCTCTGCGCCTCCGGCCGCTGGGCCGCGCCGTCGTAGCTGCGCACGGCCGACGCCGACGTGGAGCTCATGCTGCGCTTGATGCGGCCGAAGCTGTCGGTGAGGATGCCGCCCTCTCGGATGCCCACGCCCTCCAGGAAGCCCTCGAAGTAGCCGATGTCCTGGTCCGGGATGAAGGGCCGCATCCCTGCGGGGCCGAGGGGTGGGGTGGGGGGGGGCTCCTCAGGGCTCAGCCCTCCCCCTCCCACGTTGGAATCGCCTCCTCCGGAGATCTGAGTTCAAATCCCCACCCCGCCGCTGGCTGGCTGTGTGGCCTCGCACAGATTCCCTGACTCTGCGCCAGAGAATACTGACCTAATGCTTGGCACAGAATAAACGCTCACTATGTGTTAGCTTGTTGGTGTTGTTATTGCAACGGTTACCTTTCCATTTGTTAATTGTGTGACCCTCATTTAAATAGCTACTCTGGGGCAGCCCCGGTGGCTCAGCGGTTTAGCGCCGCCTACGGCCGGGGGCGTGATCCTGGAGACCCGGGATCGAGTCCCACGTGGGGCTCCCTGCATGGAGCTTCTCCCTCTTCCTGTGTCTCTGTCTCTGTCTCTCTCTCTCTCTCTCTCCTCTCTCTGTGTATTCTCATGAATAAATAAATAAAATCTTAAAAAAAATAGCTACTGAGCCTGACTTGACCTTGCCTCTAAAACTGAGATAATGGGGGATCCCTGGGTGCCGCAGCGGTTTAACGCCTGCCTTTGGCCCAGGGCGCGATCCTGGAGACCCGGGATCGAGTCCCACGTCGGGCTCCCGGTGCATGGAGCCTGCTTCTCCCTCTGCCTGTGTCTCTGCCTCTCTCTCTCTCTCTGTGACTATCATAAATAAATAAAAATTAAAAAAAAATTGAAACTGAGATAATGGCACCTGTTCTCCTGGTAGGGATGTGAGGAGGTGCTTCGCACACACTGAGTGTTCCATACAAGTCAGCGGGTTTTGCTTCCACCTCTGCTCACGCGCTATGTGACTGCAACTTCAGTACTTTACTTTGCTTCTCTGAGCCTCAGCTTCCTCATCTGCAATATGTGGAGCCTCAGCTTCCTCATCTGCAATGTGGGGGCAATATGGTTCTACTTTCCAGAACTGAAGCATTCAATGAGATGATGCTTGACACAGGGTAACTGCAAAATACCTGTGAGCCTACTAGTATTATCATTCTCTAGTGTCATTATGAGCCTTCTTTGCCAGCTGTGTGACCTCAGACAAATTCCTTAGTCTCTGTGAGCCTCAGCTGCCCCCTGAAGTAAATGGGGAGAATCATTCCCTCACCCAGCTTTGCTGTGAAGGTGAATGGTTATACTACTGCTCTCTACTTATGCACTGTGACTGCAAGCAATTCCCTTCTCTGCTCTGCACCTTTCTCCTCAAATGCACCATGGATTTCACCATCTTGGTTTTATGGGAAGCTGAAGAAGAGAAGTGAATACCTCTAGCCTGATTTCTGATTGGGAGCATCATGGGCCATGTAGGGGCCTTGGCTAACCTTGGGGGACATGGGAGGGGGCTCACCAAGGAGGAGGAACTTGCGCCGGTCTCCATAGAGCTTCAGCAGGCCTGCACAGTAGTCCTGGATGGGCAGCCCCAGCCGGTACTCCCGCAGCAGCATCGCAAACTGCTGGATCTCAGGGGGCCCCAGTTTACTCCGCAACTACAGGAACAACATTCAAGATCAGCCCTGGGGAGCAACCCCCACCCAACCTGTGCCTAAAAGACCCAGTGCCCTCTGTAAGGGTATATTTGGCCAGGACCTCCTTGGAAATCCTCCCATGGACTATGGCGGTTGGGAGGGGATGGCAGACTCTCTGGGCTGCATCTAAACATGGGATGTAGACTCAAACTGCCTGAGTTCAAATCCTGACCCCTTGGCTGATCAGTTCTGTGGTCTTGGGTGGGTGACAACCTCTTTGACCCTTGCTTTTCTTATATATGGTGAGGATAATAGTGGCACCTCCCACTTTGGTCATTGAAAGGATTAAAATAAATGCATAAAAAGTGCATAGAACAGTGCCTGGTATACAGCAAACACTCAATTAATGCTAGCTGACATTGGGCAGCCCCAGTGGCGCAGCAGTTTAGCGCCGCCTGCAGCCCAGGGTGTGATCCTGAAGACCCTGGATCGAGTCCCACGTCAGGCTCCCTGCATGGAGCCTGCTTCTCCCTCTGCCTGTGTCTCTGTCCCTCTCTCTCTGTGTGTCTCTCATGAATAAATAAATAAAATCTTTAAAAAAAATGCTAGCTGACATTAACTAAGGCTTTCACAAGCTGGCCTCAGTTTACTTTCCTAATCTCATGTCCTGCCCTGATCTTCAACATCTGCTTCAGTTATGTCCAGGGTTACTCATGATTCCTGAACTACTCCCCGTGCTTTCTCCAGCCCCCAGGCCTTTGCTCGTGCTGTTCACATTGCCCACCCCAGCTCACCGTGACCATGTAATCCTGCAGCTGCTCAAGGCCCAGGCCGCTGTGGTCACTGCCGCTGCAGTGGGAGCCATGGAAAGAGGGCGTGGACGTGCCACTATAACACGCTTCAAATGTATCCTGGGAGCCGTTGCTGCAGAGACAGGCAGAGAGGGGGGCCCTCACTCATCTCCCTCCAGCTCCTTTCCCTGTAGCAGGTGGAGGTGGGAAAGCACAGCTACCAATGCTCTGGGCCTGAGGCCTCAATCTAGATTCCATTTTGGCCTCCAAGGCCCCACATTATCTGGCCTTGGCTGCCTCTGATGACTCACCTCACCCTTGCTCTGTATACCCAGGCCACTCTGACTTCTCTCTCCCTCTCCAATACTCCAAGTACCTCTTTAGCTCTGGGCCTTTGCACATGCTGTTCCCTATATCTGGAATGCTTCTCTCCCCCTATCTTTTTTTTTTTCTCCCCCTATCTTTTGCTCAACTTACTCTTACTCATCATTGAAGCTTAAGTATCACCTTCTCGGCAAAATTTTCCCTGACCCCCTATCCCCATGACTGGGTTAGATCCTCAGTCAAATGTGGTCACAGGGGATCCCTGGGTGGCGCAGCGGTTTGGCGCCTGCCTTTGGCCCAGGGCGCGATCCTGGAGACCCGGGATCAAATCCCACGTCGGGCTCCCGGTGCATGGAGCCTGCTTCTCCCTCTGCCTGTGTCTCTGCCTCTCTCTCTCTCTGTCTCTCATGAATAAATAAATAAAATCTTAAAAAAAAAAAATTCTCTCTCTCTCTGCCCCTCCCCCTGCTCTCTAAAAAAAAGTTACCTAAAAAAAAAAAAAAAAAAAAAAAAGGGCAACCTGCCTCCTCGTTTCTAAATTGTTCCAGAACCATCTTGGATGGTTCATTGGGGTTATTATCTACAGAAAAGCAGTGTAGCATAATGCTTAGAGGATGTGGCCCTAGAGCTAGCCTGCTCACATTCAAATCTCAGACCTACAACTTACTAGCTACTTGACCCTGGGCAAGCTGCTTAGTTTCTCTATTCCTCACTTTCTCCATCTGTAAAATGGGATGACAAAAATTGACTTCATAAGAATTAGAGGAGTCTATTTGTACAGCACTTAGAGCCATGGAGTATAAACAATAAATAAACAATAGCCACTGTAATGTTGCTATGTTGATTTTTTTAAAAAATGAAGCGCTCGGGGCTACCTGGCTGGTTCAGTTGGTAGAGCATGTAACTCTTGATCTTGGGGTCATGAGTTCAAGCTCCACGTTGGGGGTAGAGTTTGTTTTTTAAAAAATGAAGTACTAAAAAAAATAAAGATAAAAATAAAATAAAAAATGAAGCACTTTATGGACCAGCACTAGGCACACAGCAAACTCAAATATTAGTCATTATCATGATTGTCATCTCTCCAGCAGATGTCAGGTTGTTTAAGGACTGGCCCAAGAGCACACAGTATTAAGAAGGCAAATATATTGCCACCGGAGAGGGAAAAAAAAAATTGGGCATATGTTACTGGCAGAGACTGCTACCTGTCAAGCCAAAGGCCTTAGTTACAGAACTAGCATGACCACCTTGTCCTAGTTTACCTGGGACTTTCCTGATGTTAGTACTAAAATTCCCATGTCCTGGGAACCCCCTCAATGCTGAGGGTAGGGGGTGGGGTTGGTCATACCAAATGCAGTCCTGGACAATGTTCCCAGGTGAGTTTGTTTGTTAATCCCACATTTTCTAGCCTTGCTGGCAGTAGTGGTGGCCACGTGACCAAGTACTGGCCAATGAGACATAAACAGAAGTTGTCAGGTATAGGGTGGGAATCGCAGCAAAGCTCTTTACAGAGGCCCCTGGCATGCCAGTGCAATAACTGGTGCTATGACCATCATCTTGGCCCATGAGGTGACTTTGAGGATGGGAGCAAGTGCTGAGGAGGGGGGAGAAGAAAAGTCTGGACAGCTGCTGAGCATACAACCATAAACTCCTAGTCTATTTTATACAGAAGACCGGGGGGAAAGCTCTATCTTATTTAAAGCTTTATCTTTTTTAGGGTTTTCTATTACATGGAATTAAAACCAAAGTAAACCCAAATTATTTTTTGGCATCAGTTGTAATTTGGACTCTGTAGGCCAGTATGTCTGGATGACGGGCAAAGAACTACAGGCCTATATGGAGCCAGTTCTGGGTTCTGTCCATCCCCTGGGCCTCTCAGGGTGTCTGGGTCTGGATCCTCCGAACTCACTGAAGCCTGGAGGAGTCAGTTTACCTACCCCTCTTGGGCTGAGCATCTGCAGAAATTGAGGCAGGGTCATTTACTCCCACTCTCTCTTGCCCACAGGGAGCTCAAGAATGCCCAGAAGAGAGCCCCTGTTTGTGCAAGGGTGAGGGGGGTGTGCAGGGTGGTACCCACAAGGAGCTGCAGCAGCTGAAGTCGGCATCATAGGCGTAAGTCCCATCCGTGCGGCAGCTCTCACCTGGGGTCAACAGACAGAGGGGCGGTTAGAGACAGTGGGCCAGGGACCGACATCCCCAGCTCCCCGAGACCTCAACCTCAGCCCAACCCTGTGGTTGGGATGATGGTTGGAGCAATTGGCCTTGTAAGGACAAGGGATGTCCTTGTTGGATATCTGGCCTTGTAAGCAATTGTCAGAATGTTAGCTTTTACCCTGAGTGAAATTAGGCAGCCACTGGAAGATCTGGACCATGAATCCTACCTCCACCACCAATACACAGCCAACCTTGGGCAACTCACCTCTTCTCTCCTTGCCCTCAACTTCCCCAAGGTTGGGACAATACCACTTTCCTGCCTGCCTTGTGAGAGTTTTGGGGATAGCAGGTGAGGGAACAGGTGAGGTAATGTTTTGAAAACTGTGTTTGAGGCAAGAAGGAAAAAGGAACTTTGAGGGGAAGAACCCCACATCTTGTGAGCATGGAAGCACCATTTACAGAGAACTTGCTCTGGACCCAGCCCTGTTAACATCTCTGGCCTTACCCTTCTGATCTTGTCTTATGTGTTGTCACTTCCTTCGGACACCCCCCTGATTTCCCAGGTGAGGCTGGTTCCTCAGTCTGTGTTCTCAGAGTACAACGTGAGACTACAGTTTATTTGTATAGCTAATTGCTGTGGGCTTACCTCAACAATGCAAGCCTTATGAGAGCAGGGCCATGTCTCGTTTTGCTCACTAGTATATCCTGGTGATGGTAGGTGCTCAGTAAATATTTGTTCAATAGAATGCATTTGTTGATATATTTGTTGACTCATTGCATTTATTTACCCAGCGTCCTGTGAGAGTTGATGAACTGTCTCAACTTCCCAAAAACCCCAGGTCCCACATGAATGGGAGTGCCTCTGGAAGGATAGAGTTCTGTTGCTGGAGCTATGCAGACGGGTTGCTCTGAGGGGGCTGTGGCTGAGGAAATCCACTTAGTGGCCTCAAAGGCAGCCTGGGAGTCAGGCTGAAAGCTTTAGAAGCTTTAGAAATCAGACACACCTGGGTTTGAATCCAGATTCTGCCACTTGCCAGCTGGGTGACCTTGAGCAATTTATTGACTACTCTGAGCCTTAACGTCCTCATCTGTAAAATTGGAATCATAAGGCTTCAGAGAGTTCTTTTATCTATTCAAACAATACTTCTTGAGCATCTGTGATGTCCCTGGTCCTGTGCTAGGCATGGGGGATATAGTGGCAAATAGTACCAACCAGATTGCTATGAGAATTAAATAAGAGTTGGGCACATTGAATAAGACTGTGCTTGGCACATAGTTGTTGCTCAATAAATGCCTCTATTAGTTTCTTTCTCATTCTAGCCCTTGATTGCATTCAAGAGTGGGCCTGGATATGTTTGCTTTGACCTAGATTCCTAGTGGAGCGAAACAGCTCAGTAAACACACAATGCATGTGCCTGGATTTCTGCAAAGCAAGGACATCAAAAATGAAAGAAAGGAGAAGAGTTCAGCTTTGAGGGGCTCATTCTGAATCTGGCAACCAGAACATCTGTGAGGAAGCTAAGTTTTTTTTTTGTTGTTGTTGTTGTTGTTTTAAGATTTTATTTATTCATGAGAGACACACAGAGAGAGGCATAGACACAGGCAGAGGGAGAAGCAGGCTCCATGCAGGGAGCCCGATGTGGGACTCCATCCCGGGTCTCCAGGGCCACACCTGGGGCCAAAGGTGGCGCTAAACCGCTGAGCCACCCGCACTGCCCGGAAGCTAAGTTTGAGGTCATCATGAAAACTGACATTTTATTTTAACCACATAAGGGCGAGGGGTGGGGTACACTGTAATTGTTGTAGAGATCGGGACCCCTAAAGGTTCATTGGCCCTGAGTCCTGGGGCAGGCCCCCCACCCCTGGCCTTTTGGGATGGTTCACAGGAGGGGCGGCCAGGAGTTCCAGTACTCACTGCGGCTGCAGAGCCACGGCCGCTCAGGCGTGGACGTGTAGTGGTAGCCGGCTCGGTCTACGCACTCAATGCTCTGGTCCCCATAGATGATCTGGAAGACCTGACAGATGAGGGCACAGGACTCCTCGGCAGCATCCTGGCACAGGGAGGAAGACAGAGCACTCTGGGCCTCTCCAGTACCCAGGACACCCCTGCTCCCTTAAACAGTGTGAGGAGGCTTGCGGGGCTGCACACGTACCTATGGACACTTTAAATCAACTTGGAGGGCATTCCCTATTCACCTTCTGGGTCTTGGGCTCCTTTAAAGAGCCCAGCAGCAATGCTAAGTCTTCTGCTCTGAAAAATGTACCCCAAATTTCTGGGAGATTCATAGGACCTCCTAAAGTTTATCTAAAATAAGCCCTAGGGGCACCTGGGTGGCTCAATTGGTTAACATCCAACTCTTGATCTCAGCTCAGATTTCTACCTCACGGTTGTGAGTTCAAGCCCCATGTTGGGCTCCACACTGGGGAAGGAGCCTACTTTAAAAAATAAAATAAAGTAAAATAAGCCCTAGTTTAGTTAAATTTACCATAGGAAGTTGAGGCTTAGAGAGGTGAAGTTATTAGTCAGGACTAGAACCCAAGATTCCTGATACCTACCAAGAGGAGGAAGAATTACACGTATGAAAATTTTAGGTTCAACATAGTTACTACTACTGGATGCCATATTTAGATATGAAGTTCCTGGCACCCAGGGCAAAAATGGAAGTAGGATGAATACCTAAACCTTAGTTTCTTTTTTTTTTTTAAGATTTTATTTATCTATTCATGAGAGACACACAGAGAGGGGCAAAGACACAGGCAGAGGGAGAAGCAGGCTCCATGCAGGGAGCCTGACATGGGACTCGATCCCGGGTCTCCAGGATCACACCCTGGGCTGCAGGCGGCACTAAACCGCTGCGCCACCGGGGCTGCCCTAAACTTTAGTTTCTGATAGAAGGCATGAATTTCAATTCTTGGGTGAAAGTTTTTCAAGACTACAAATTTGAAGAGGATTTTGTCTTTCTAATTTACCTCTTTATGTCTTTAAGGAAGAAACCCAGAAAGACAATAACTGATAAGACCATCTTCATGGTACCATTTCCTATTTTGTTCCTCTAAAAAGCCGGGAATATAAATTAAAATGTAACCCTGGAGAGGCAAGATTGATCCTTACAATAACTCTACAAAACAAACAGGGAAGAGAGTATCCTTATTTTACAGTTGAAGGCACTGAAGCTTAGAGTGACTAAGTCAGTCACCCAGCTCACACAACAAGTGCTTATTATTGGTTACTACTAGCATTCAGGTTTTTTGACTCTAATTCCTGTACCCTGCTCAGGACCACAATGCCTTTGATAGGAGGTCAGAGAATCCAATACTCCTGAAAAGCAACTCTTCATTTATTTACTCATTTTGCAAATTCTAATTTAGTCCTATTTTAGGCACTGGGCCAGACTCCGGGGTCTTAAGGGTGAATTAGATGAGGTCTGTACCCTAAAGCCCTCACAGTCCTAGTAAGATAACTGGGCACACTGTTCCCTCTGCCAGGAATTCATTTTCCTGGCTCTTCACCTTGCAGACTCCTTCCTCCCCTTCACATTTCAGTTTAAAAAGCACAAACTCACTTTCTCTATGGAAAATGGATCTCCTTCCTCATTATCACTACAATCTGTTTGTTTTCTTCTTGGTCTCCAACACAAGGTATAATAATATACTATGCATCACTTCATCCACTCATTCAATATTTATCATGTGACAGGCACTGTTTTAGGTGTTGGAGATACCATAGTGAACCATCCAAAATGCACAGATCTCTTGCACTCTACAAGGAGACCAGTCTGGCTGGAGTGGAGTGCATAAAGGGGCATGTAGAAAGAGATGAGGACAGAGAGGAATGAGGCTTCAGCCACCATTAGAAGGTGGGTGGCCTTATCAGCAGTTGTAAGTACATTAGCTCCTATTCCAGTGAAATGGGGAGCCATGGCAAGATTTTGAAGAGTGATATGATGTGACTTATGTGTTAGCAGGGCTGCTCTGACTGGGGAGAACAGATTATAAGGAAGAGCCAAATCCATGATCTAGATGAATGATCTGGATGATAGAAGTTGGGGCATGGGCCTGGGTGGGAACAGTGGAGGGTGGGGAGAAGTAGATAGGTTTGGAATATATTTTAAAAATAAGGCCAACAGGGTTTGCTGAGAGAATGGATATGTGTTATGTGAGATCGAGAGGGGCCACAAATCACTGGGAGGTTTTAGTCTGAGTGAGGGAAGGACAGAGTTGCCATTAATTAAGACAGGGAAACCAAGAGAGGAGCAGGTTTGAGGGAGAAGATTGGGTGCATAGCTTTGGGTGTGTTAGGTTTGAGATGGTCATTAGTGCACCGATTGGAGAAACGTGTCTGGAGATTTGCTGAGAGATAAAATTTGGTGAGTTCTCAGAGTTTTAGGTGCCAGGAGATGGTTTTGTTCACTGCGATATCTATGGCGGGGGGGGGGGGGGGGGGATGGGGGACCCAGGGCCAGAGGCAAAGTTTAGACAGCTCAGGACTTGAAAGTGTCTGATAGATTGTGAGCTCCCTAAGGGAGGGCACCAAATTGGTGTTGTCCATCTCTGCATCCATAGCACCTAGCCCAATGTCTAGGACAATAAAGATGCTCAGTAAAGATGGTCAAAAGAATAAAAGCAAGGGGGAATATGGAGAATGGGGGGAGGGGAGGGAAGGCAAGAATGGAAGACTTCTGCCTTGGATGACTGCCATAGTTAACAAAAGCACAGGCTCTGAACTTTCTGGGTCCCAGGGTTGAAACCGCCACCTGCTTCCTGTGTGACCTTCCACAAGTTACCTAGCCTCTGGGTCTCAGTTTCCTCCTCTACAGAATGGAGATGGTTGTAATGTTTGCCTCTAGCGGTTGGTGAGAGAATGAAATGTGTTAACGCTGGTTCCCGGTCTGGCGTGGGCCGCATTCCCTTCGTACTGGTAATTAGTATCCCCGTGGTTGTTACTGGGGTAGTGGCCGCATCTACGCCGTGGGAGAAGGAGCAGGGCTGGAGGAGGGGTTAGATCAAGTCTGTTTGGGTTATTTTGAGTTTTCATCATTGGAACGACAAGGGGGAGGCGTCCAGGCTGGAGATCAGAAGCCCTTTGGCGTCGTGGGCACACAGGTAGTACCTGAAGTCCTCGATAGGGCCCCAGGGGCCAGGGTAGACCCCCGGAACCCGGCGGGGCGGGGCGGGGCGCGACGCCCTCCAACCCCCGACGCGCGGGGGAGGCAGGACGCAGGGGCTCCCGGCGCCCGCGGCTCACCCTGTTGGCCACAGCCAGGATGACCAGGTTGCAGTAGGCGTCGGGGCTGGGGTCCCGCGGGTCCAGCGGGTTGGAGCCCGGGTGGCGCCGCTCCCAGCTGCCGCCGCCGCCGCCCGCCTGCCTCCGCTCCCAGCTGCCACCCGGCTTGCCCGCGCCGCCGCCGCCGCCCGCGTGCCGCCGCTCCCAGCTGCCGCTGAACGTCTGCCGCCGCTCCCAGCTGCCCGACGCCCGCGCCCCGGCGCGCTGGCGCTCCAGGCTGCCGCCGCCGCCGCCCCCGGCCCGGGCCTCCGCGCCCGCGCCCCCGCCCCACGCCATCCGCCAGTCCAGGCTGCAGATGGTGTGGCGCCGCTCCGTGGTGCCCCCCCGCCGCTTCTCGGGCGCCGCGCCCGGCGGGCCCGGGTCGCGCCCAGCGCCGCCGGGGCTGGCGTCTACGCCGGCTGGCACCGGGTCCACGCCCAGACCTAGGAGAGGCGGGAGGGCGGTCAGGAGCCCCCTCCCGACACCAGCTGGGGGCCATCCGCGCCTCGCCCCACCTCTGCCTTCAAGGCTGGAGGCCACACCCGCCCCCCGGGGGGCCCTTACTTCTGGGGCTCGCCCCGGGCCCCGGCCCCACCCTAGTCTCGCTCGGGGTCTGACCTGTCCGGCCCCTACCCCAGGAGGGAGCTCCGCCTCCCCGCCGCATGGCCACGCCCCCAGCCCAGGCTCCGCCCCTCGCCCGAGCTCTCCGACCGCCGAGGTCTCGCTCTGCTTCACCTCGCCCTTAAACTTCAGGTCCCAGAATTTGGGCTTCTCCAGCCTTCCCAGCTCCGCCACCCGGCCTCAGGCTGTGGGCCAGGCCATCCACCCTTCAACTTCAACCTTAGCCCTGGGCCACGTCTTCTCGCGTCTGGCCATGGCCTGCCCTTAGTCTCAGGGTAGCCGTGCGGTCAGGCCTTTTCCATCACACACCATCCATGCTCAGCCCCCCGCCTCCTCCCCGCCCCAAGTCACGCCTTTCCCAAAACTAGACGCTGGGCCCTTTCTCTCCCGGTTCACCTCCCGGCCCTGCCCCGGCCGGGCCCAGCCCGCTGTACCGGTCTTAAGCACCAGCAGGTGCAGCGCGTCGTCCTGCAGGTAGGAGGCGGCGGCGATCTCATGCGTGGGGATGCGCAGGATTAGCTCCTCGTTGTCGCGCCAAGTGAGCAGCAGGCAGCGGGCCGACAGGCTCAGGATACTGTCCTGCTCCGCCGTGGTCTTCAGCGGCAGCTCCTTCAACTGCTGTGGGGCGGGGCGGATCTCTTGGGTCCCCCAGGGGCTCAGGTGGGAGAGGAAGAAGGGGCCAAGACCCAGCCCTGACCCTCCCCAGGACCTCACCCTGGCCGTGTCCAGCAGCTGCAGGAGCTCGTCGCGGCTGGAGGGGTTCAGTGAGGAGGTAACCCAGGTGAGGTGGCCCAGGAACTGGATAGGAAATGGGGGGTGGAGGTGGGAGAAGGGCACAGAGAGGTCACCTTGAAGCTTTGGATAACCCAGAACTCCTCACTGACCCAGTGTCTATAGACTGAAATAGAAATCTCTGAATTAATAATAACCTGATAATAGCTGTTAAGGTGGTCACAGAAGCCAGACCCAAAATAATGATGCCCCAAATCAATATAATAATTCTTCATTCATTCTTAGTTATAACGTAATGTTATCACAAACTTTAGTTCTTCAGTGTAAGAAATTAACTTTTTAAAATTTTCAGATTTGTTCTTCTACCAAACGTTTTTCTTCTTTTATTCTCTATGGAATTTCAGTCCCCAATTTTTAAATGGAGTTATTGGTTAGCTTTACCCTCCATATATAGTTGCCAGGTAAAATATAAGATGTCAGTTAAAATTGAATTTCATGTAAACAGTGAATACTTTTTCAAGTTTTAAAAAGGATTGATTTATTTATTCATGAGAGACATAGAGAGGCAGAGGCACAGGCAGAGGGAGAAGCAGTCTCCTTGCAAGAGCCCAATGCGGGACTCGATTCCAGAACTCCAGGTTCACACTCTGAGCCAAAGGCAGACGCTCAACCACTCTGAGCCAGCCAGGTGTCCTACTTTTTCAATTTTTTTACAAGTGCTTTTAGCCCCATGCGATATCTGGGACATATTAATACTCAACAAATACTCATTGCTTATCTGAAATTCACATTAGGGATTCCTGGGTGGCTCAGCGGTTGAGCATCTGGCTTTGGCTCAAGGCATGATCCTGGGGTCCAGGATATAGTCCCACATTGGGCTCCTTGCGGAGAGCCTGCTTCTCTCTCTTCTTATATCTCTGCCTCTCTCTCTGTGTCTCTCATGAATAAATAAATAAAATCTTTAAAAAAATAAATAAATGGGGGCAGCCCCGGTGGCGCAGCGGTTTAGCGCCGCCTGCAGCCCAGGGCATGATCCTGGAGTCCGGGGATCGAGTCCCACGTCGGGCTCCCTGCATGGAGCCTGCTTCTCCCTCTGCCTGTGTCTCTGCCTCTCTCTCTCTCTCTGAATAAATAAATAAAATCTGAAAAAAATTAAAAAAAATAAATATGTTCTAAAAAAATAAATAAATGAAATTCACATTTAACCAGGCAGCATATTTTTGCCAAATCTAACACTCCTACCCCCATATCAATCCTCCTTGGGTAGTGAGGATTCTCCATTGCTCCTTCACGGTGCTCAAGAAACAGTAGTAAAACTCTCCAACAACCTCAGTCTCCTCTGGCTTGCTGATTTGGGTTCCTTTACCAAGTTGATCTGCTGTCATTACTGTGGTGAAATCTCACAGGAAGTATGGCTTTTCCCACCTGCTTTCCCCTGTGGGTAGGTTTTGAGCCCCATCTCAAGATGGGAACACTGAGGCTGAGCAGCTGGAGATCATTCGCTGAGGGTCCACAGCATAAGGCAGGAGCTAGGCCTTGAACCCAGGTCTCTTTCCCCTAAGCCTCCCCTGTGTGAGGCAGGGCTGGTCAGGACTTGGTGTGAGGGAGAGGTACAGAGTTTCTTCTGATGGGATCCAGAACATATTATCCCAAAATATGGCACCTTGGCATGTCGAATATCTTAAGCTTGATGGAATTGAAGAAAACTGTAGAAGCAGGGAGGTCACTGTGACCTTCCCTCACCCCCTACCCTTCTTCCCTGAAAGAAGGCACATACCCTCCCTATACCTGGAGGGAGACCTCCTTCTCACCAGACACAAGGAATTTAGGACCTAAAAGGCTGTTTAAACAAACCTTGTTATTTCTTCACCTTTTTTCTCCCCTAGCCCAAATCCTCTGCCTTGTCAGTTCTTCAAAAATGTATTGTTTGTCAAGAAGGTATAAAAGCAAAAAAAAAGTAAAAAAAAAAAAAAAAAAGCTATAAAAGCTTCCTGCTCTAGTCACCCAATGAATGGGTCTTCATTCTCTCGTGAAGGCTCTCATGGGCATGTTAACATTTAATAAAATGTGACACTTGGGATCCCTGGGTGGCGCAGCGGTTTAGCGCCTGCCTTTGGCCCAGGGCGCAATCCTGGAGACCTGGGATCGAATCCCACGTCGGGCTCCCTGCATGGAGCCTGCTTCTCCCTCTGCCTATGTTTCTGCCTCTCTCTCTGTGTGACTATCATGGAATAAATAAATAAAATCTTAAAAAAATAATAATAATAAAATAAAATGTGACACTCCTCCCGTTAATCTCCGTTAATCTGTTTGTCGGTGTCGGCTTCATTTGCAGACTCAGCCAGGGACTCTAAGAGAGTTGAGGACCCCTCCTTGACTCCTCACCCCAAGATTCTGCCCACCTGTCCCCTCATTCCACGATGTACCTTGACCTCTTTCTCCAGGTAGTCACACAGTAGGATCTGAGGGTCAATGAGGTAGTCAGGAGGATAAAGGGGCATCGAGTGCAGAGGCCGGCGACTCACACTGGTCCGAAAGGCAGCCCGGCGCCCCGCCTTGGGAAACACCAGCCTCCGGATGGGGGATACGAAGCCCTGGGAGGGAGTGGGATGGTGGAGAGATGGGGGTGAGAAACAACAGTAATGACAGCTGCTGACTTTCTCCAGCACTTTCTGCACTTCCTCACTCAGCATTTTGTTTATTTACATGGTACATAATTTAATTCTCATGGACTCTGCAGAAGGGGTACCTCTGTGAGCCCCATTTCACAGATGGAGAAACTAAGCCTCAGAGAGGGAACTAGCTGATCCAGTCACTAGTGGTAGAACCATGAGTGCAGTCTGGCTCTAAAAGCTCCATTCTAAACACCCAGGGGAGGGTGGAGGGCCTGCCCAGGCCCAGCCCAGACTGAAGGAGTGGGTCTAGGCTGGGGCAAATAAGAAAAATGGTCAGATTCAATGTGGCAGAGTGGTAAGGGCACAGGGATTTGTTACGCAATTCCCTGTGCTTTTCCCTAAATTGGAAACACCTAATAAGTACATTTAAGGAGAATCCAGCAGGCACCTGCAAAAAACAGGGCCTATAGCAAGGTTCAAGAAGCCAATTGCAGAGCTCCACCGAGGCCCAACAGAATCTAAATCTGGCGGAAATTGTGAGCACTACTTTAGAGCAGTTCTCAGTGGGTCTGATCCCTGGATCTGCAGCAGCAGCACCAGGGAACTTAGGAGAAATGCACATTCTACCATTCTATCCTAGATATGCTGGATCAGAGCGAGGGGGTGAGACCCAGGAATCCAGGTTTTTATTTTTTTTTTATTTATGATAGTCACACACACACAGAGAGAGAGAGAGAGAGAGAGAGAGAGAGAGAGAGGCAGAGACACAGGCAGAGGGAGAAGCAGGCTCCATGCACCGGGAGCCGGACGTGGGACTCGATCCCGGGTCTCCAGGATCGCGCCCTGGGCCAAAGGCAGGCGCCAAATCGCTGCGCCACCCAGGGGTCCCGGAATCCAGGTTTTAACAAACACTCCAGGTGATTCTGAAACATGCCCAGTTCAGATGTAAAAAGCAGGAGCCTAGCTGGAGTATCTGGAGCTCTGAGATATGAGAACAGATGATCCAGAAAAGGGTGTTCAGGCAGAGGGCATGTGCACATGCAAACCCCTGGGGGACTGCAAGGGCTGGTCCTGAGATTGAGCCCTGTGTCGGCTCCCTGCTCAGCGGGGAGCCTGCTTCTCCTTCTCCCTCTGCTGCTCCCCCTGCTTGTGCTCTCTCTCTCTGTCAAATAAATTTTAAAATCTTTTTTAAAAAATTAAGAGTTGCCTTCCCCACTATATTGTGAGCTCCAGAGAGGGTGCAGGGACCTTGTTTGACTTTGCTCACCACTCTATGGTCCCTAGTACCAGGCATGATGCTTGGTAAATATCCACATAATAAGTGCTCAGTAGGGATGCCGGGTGGCTCAGCGCTTTAGCACCTGCCTTCGGCCCAGGGCGTGATCCTGGGGTTCCAGAATCAAGTTCCGCATCAGGCTCCCTGAATGGAGCCTGCTTCTCTCTCTGCCTATGTCTCTGTCTTTGTCTCTGTGTCTCTCATGAATAAATAAATATAAATGAAAAAAAAAGTGCTCAGTAAATATCCGGAGAAGGTATGAACACAGAGAGAAGAAGCACTATGTTGTGACTCCCTTGTGAGCCCTCATGATACTCACGGGAGCCCTTTAGACCAGCCTGACCCAGGTTTCTTGGAGGATAGGAATGCATGGGGGTGGGGGTGGGGATTTGGAATCCTAGGGACTTCCTGAATGACAAAGACAACCTGGTGAGGGGCCCATGGACCCAGACTAGAAAACTGATAGTGGGGAGGCATGAGGATCTAGAGGCTGGGGGAAATGAGCTTCAGGCTGAGGCCTTAGGAGCAGAGCTGTCTTGGCATAAAGATGGGGAGGGGGCAGGCTAGACTGGAACCCAGCAGGGGAGCAGGTAGGTGTCTCAACCTGGATAGGCAGCCTTATAGCACAGAAATGCCCAGGCTGAGGTCCTTTTGTCTGGGGAGGTAAGAAGCAAAAGAATGGGTATGTTGGGTGTCTGTCTCTCTGTCTGAGGAGCCCCCAGGAAAGCCATGGAAGCAGGTTGGGAGTATCTCCCAAAGCAATTTGTCTGGTGGGGTTCCCCTGTAAGGTGCTTGTCTGTCTATTCCAGGCATGGCAGATGCCACTCAGAGTGGGGAAACAGGTTAGGAAGCTTGAGCCCAAATGTCTGACTGCCCAAGGGTGGGAAGGACAGTCTTTTCAGATGAGAAGACTTTACTCCCGCCACTCACTACCCATAGCCCCCACCCCTGGCTTCCCCCTTTACCAGCTCCAGGGACATTTCTCTACCCTGCATCCCTCCCAACCTCCCACCTACCTTTTTTCCTTTCTTGACTTCATATTCCATGGTGAAGTGTCGCCTCCACTTTTGCCACCCTCCTGGCCATCCCCTCCACCCTCTCCCCTACGCAGTTCCTTTGTTCTTTTTCCTGCCTGGTCGGAAACTCCACCAGCCCCAGAGTTCCTGCCCCGCCTGCCCGTGCATGATAGCGAGCAGAGAGGTGGGGGGCTGGAGGCAGGCGAGAACGCAGGCTTGGGCCTCTGAAGCTGAAGAATGGAAGGAAGCCCAGCCTGAGCAACCGACGTGGGGAGAATGCCTTAAGCCTCCATCCAGAAGGCTTGGCTTGGTGTTGAGCAGTCTTGGGAACCGAGTAAGGCTGGGGAAGGCCCTCTTGCCTCCCCCTCCCCCTATGTGGAGTCTGAGAATCCCAAATTCCAACCCTACTTCTGCCACTGACCTTGTTGTGTGACCTTGGCAAGGCAAGTCAGTTCCGGCTTGCACAGCCTCGGTTGCCCCCTCCTCTCTATGAACTAGGAATAAACATTGTCTCCCTCTCTGGCTGCTGTGGTGAGAGATAAATGCAAGAGTGGGTAGGAAAAATGCTTCCTAAACTATAGAATACCGTGTCCAAGCTAGTTGTGATTTTAAAAATTAATCATTACTATTAAGGAAGGCAGTATTCATGGGCTTTGCACTGCCTCTGGTGTGAGGGTCGCTGGAGCCTCCAACCACTCACTCCCCACTTCCTTCCCTTCGGGTGTTCTGTGCTCAGTGCTCATCTGGGGAAATGGTCCAGGCTGTTGAGAGTAAGCTCACAGAGCCACTCCCCTGTACCCGGCTTTCATGTCCCAGCAGCAGGAAGTGAGATCCCCATCAGTCTGCCAGGCAGACAGGAAGAGGCCAAGGATGTGCAACCCAATTCCTGACAGCTTCAGACACCGAAACTCCCACTTAACAACTTGAACAAGTCCTGAATTCCTCAGTTTCCCTATCTGTGTAGTGGGGACTTCTGTTATTACTGAACTAACTCCAAGTATCACTGAAGTGCTGGGAATATCAAATAGAACAAGAAATGTTCGGAATGCTGCTAGAAATAGCAAACTCTCTTTGCATTCCCTGCAGCGCCTACCCCAGGGCCACGAACAGGTCAAGTGTTTAGTAAATGTCAGTAGAAGTAGGTGGAGACAGGTGGATATAGGTTCAAATGTGTATGACCTTGAACAGGTTCATTTCTTAGAGCCCCAGAGTCTCATGTGTCAAAAGCAAGATAATGATGATGCTTGCCTCATAAGGCTGTTGCAGAGATTAAATGGGAACAGAAGATATATGATGGTACCATTGATTATTAAAATTGGCTTGTGAGGATAAAGAAGTTGTGTATATATATGTATATAATATATACTGTATGTATTATATATATACACAGTATATACTATATATTCACATATATATGCACAATAGAATATTACTCAACCATAAAAATGTTGCCATATGTGGAATTTAAGAAACGGAAGAGATGAACATAGGGGAAAGAAAAAAGAGAGGGAGGCAAACCATAAGAGATGCTTTTTTTTAAGAACATTTATTAATTTATTTATTAGAGAGAGAGTGTAATGAGTGGGAAGAGGGGCAGAGGGAGAGTATCCCCAGGAGACTCCCCACTAAGTGTGGAGCCAGAAGAGGGGCTCAATCCCACAACCCTCAACCCTAAGATCATGACCTGAGCTGAAATCAAGAGTCAGATGTTTAACCAATTGAGCTGTCCAGGCATCCCAAGAGACTTTAAACTGTAGAGAAAAAAACGAGGGTTGCTGGAGGGGAGGTAGGTGGTGGTGGGCTAAATGGTTGATAGGTATTAAGGAGGGCACTTGTTGTAATGAGCCCTAGGTATTATACTTAAGTGATGAATCACTAAATTCTACTCCTGAAACTAATATTACACTATATGTTAACTAACTAGAATTTAAATAAAAACTTGAAACACTAAAAAAAAAAAAAAAAAAAAAATAGGGGCCAGGCACCTGGGTGGCTCAGTTGGTTAGGCATCTGCCTTGGGCTCAGGTCCTGATCTCGGAGTCCTGGGATTGAGCCCAGAGACTGGCTCCCTGCTCATCAGGGAGCCTGTTTCTCCTTCTCCTGCTACCCCACCCCCACTGGTGCTCTTTCTTTCAAATAAATAATAAGCAAAATCTAAAAAAAATTAGGGTGCCTGGCTGGCTCAATTGGTGGCATGTGTGACTCTTGATCTTGGGATTGCGAGTTCGAGCCCCACATTAGATGTGGAAATTACTTAAAAATAAAAATCTTAAAAAAAAAAAACAGCTTGTGCATCAAAAAAATGAGTAAAACAAAGTCCGTGTTCTTGAAAACTTAATAGTTGTGGCAAATAGGATTCATCTTTTTTTAGCCATCTCCAGTTGATTGGGAGGGGCTGCCTAGAGCTCTATATAGATTATAAAAACTAGATCTACTCTCAGCATGAAAAAGGGATCGATTATCAGTGCCTGCCATGGAGGTGGGAATGTGGCGGCAGGTATACAGTGCATATGCTGACCCCGATCTGGCTAGAGAGAAAGATGTATACGCAAAAACTCTGATATGGCCCAAGTGACTTATTTGGAGGAAGGCAGGATCAGGAGCCATTCACCAAGTCCCATTATATTCAAGCCAAGCCTTGAAGGACATATGGAAGGAAGGTCACTCTAGGCAGGGGAAACAGCTTGAGCAAACACACAGTGTCTGGACTGGGATGCTTTTGGCTGCAAAGAATAGACTGCCCAATCAAAGGGCTTTGACAATTAGGAAAATGTATTACCTCTCAAGACAAGTCCAAAGGGAAGTGATTTCAGGGCTGGTTAATCGAGGAGCCCAAAATGGCATCAAGTTCCATACATTTTCTAGTGTGCTACTGCTATGGGCTGAATTATGTCCCTGTAAATTTATATGTTGAGACCCTAACACCTAGGACCTCAGAATGTGGCTGTTTTCAGAAATAAGGCTGGCCTTTAAAGTGGCAATTAAGTTAAAAGGAGGCTGTCGGGTGGGCTCTAATATATTTTTTTAAGATGTTATTTATTTATTCATGACAGACACAGAGAGAGGCAGAGAAAGCTGCAGAGAGAGAAGCAGGCTCCATGGAGGGAGCCGGATGTGGGACTCGATTCCGTGACTCCAGGATCACGCCCTGGGCCCAAGGCAGACGCTCAACCGCTGAGCCACCCAGGGATCCCGAGTGGGCTCTAATCCAATCTGACAGGTGTCCTCCTGAGAAGAGGAAATTCGGACACACAGAGAGACACCAGGGGTACACACACAAAGAGGAAATACTGCATAAGGACAGAGCCAGAAGGCAGCTACCTACAACCCAACAAGAGAGGCCTCAGAAGAAAACAACCCAGCTGACACCTTGATCTCAGTTTGCAGCCCCCAGAATTGTGAGGAAATACATTTCCGTTGTTTAAATCCCTCACGCTGTGGTATTTTGTTGTGGCAGCCCTAGCAAACTAATAGAGTCAGCCAGATGGCTGCAGTGACTTGATGCCATTTACCATTATCCTGATTTTGATGCCATCAGCCATTGATGGGGCTGAAGGGTTTCCCCCTTCTTTTGTGTCTTTTTATTGTGAAGGAACACCTGTCCCATAGATGCTTCAAGAGACTTCCCTTAGGAGTATAGGAACCAGATGTCTTAGCCAGGATATATTTGGGCTGTAACAAAGACACAAGAGTGACTTAAACATAATAGAAGTTTCTCTCTTTTATTACCTGAGTAGTTTGGGGCAGCAGACCTGGGACTGTTGGGTCTGGGATCCAGAGGCTTCCTATCTTGTTGCTATGCCACACACACTGGATTTTGTTTTCACCTCCGACACAGCTATGGTCCGGCCAGGGAGAGTACAACCCCACCCTTTAAAGAGAAGACCTGTCAGTACAAAATTCTGCTCACATCCCACTGACTAGAATTTGTTTCCTTGGCCACACCTAATTGCAAAGGAGGTTGGGAAATGTAGTCTTTTATTCTGGGGGCCACTGGGCCCAGCTAAAAATTCCTTTATAGACAAGAGGAAGCATGGATACTGGAGAACACAGAATTGAATCATATGTCCTGCCTCCACCAATCCTAGGTCAGGGGGAATGATCTTGGATCAATGGTTCTCAAATTTGAGTGAGTATCAGAGTCACCTGAAAGACTTATAAAGACATGCTGCTCTCCACTCAACCCTACAGGTAGCTGATTAGATGGGTCTGGGTGGGGGTTGAGATTCAACATCTCTAATAAATTTCTCAGTAACACTGGTCTAGGGACTGTGTTTTGATAACCATTGCCTTGGGCCAATTGTGACTTGCCTCCTGGGGCCAGGTTGGGGCTACATTCCCTGAGCACTTGGGATGAGGCTCCCTAAAATGGGGCTCCACCTGCATGAGAGACTAGTGAGAAAGGCTGTTGGGTGGCAGCCAGGAGAGGCTCACAAAAACAAGAAGATGAATGGTTTGGAGAGGCTATGAGCACCAGGTGGGGTAATTTTGGAGATAAGGATTAAAAAGTATTTGGGGCCCAATAGTGAAGTCAGCAGCATGCAAAAGTCTCTTTCTTTCTTTTTTTTCCCCCCCAAAAATCTTTATCCTGAAGGTCCTGGGGAACCATGGAGATTCTATAGCAAAGAACTGTCATGATCAGATTTGTAAAAGGATGAGGATGCATTAAAGCAGTGGTCCTCAAAGTGAGAGTCTCAAACTCCTTGCACCAGAATCCTCTGGAGAACCTTTAAAATGCAGACTTCCAGGCAAACTCTATCCACCTCCTATCCGAGTAGAAATCTGCATTTAAAACAAACCCCCTCAACCCCAGGTGATTCTGTATACTTTGAAGTTTGAGAACCACTAGATGGAGGGTGGAAACCCTGGAGGCTGGGAGATCTTTTAGGAACAGTACTTTCTAGAAAGTAATCTCTGTGAAGGCAGGGACCATGTTTGTTTTATATCTTTCTTGTTCATGGTGCCTAGAAGAGTACCTGGCACATAATATGTACTTAACAAATATTTGGTTTAATGGGATTAGAAACTTCAGTCTGGGTTCTGACTTTGTCTAGGGTGCATC